TCTAGCACCTCATCTGTCAGTTTTGGCAATAAATACTGCATTCTTTAAGTCATTTTCTTCAACACTGCTCCTGAAGAAGTGTTGCAACCTCTTTGTGTGCCTTCTATTGTTCCAAATTCTACTGTAGGCATTGTGACAGTCATTTGAGTTCTAAGTGCTGTTGTTTTGTTGTTTTGTTGATGAGTAGAATCTCCACTTTGTTTACACTGAGCAGTATTGCAGCAGTGGTATACTAATTGCCTTTTTCTGCAAACTCATCTACCTCACTAGAGTGTAGCTCAGCTGGTTGTGATTGCAACTCTTAACAAAATGCCTTTGTGTTGTTGGCAATTATCTTTGGCTATGATGGGATTCATCCTGTTGCTGGCTTATGGCATTGATTGGCAAGACCTATAAGTTTTTCTTACACTTCTATGTGTCTGGAACGGGTAGACTTCTATCCTTTACCATTTCCTTTGTCAGTATTAGGTCTCTCACTGCTACATTTTTTGAGTGCTTCTTGTGTTAAGCTCCTTTTTCTCCTTGATAAATGCAGCCCTGATGCATCTGATTTGGCCTACATGCCTCTGACTGGTGCTCTACTGGCAATATGGCTTTTCTCTGCTGCTTGTTTTGAGCTTTCAGCCCTAATTGCAACAAGCTCCTGAGAAAAAAGCTACTTTTTATCACTGCCAGATCCTTCACTACTACCCTGACCAAGCACTTCTTGAATGGATCAATGATCTTTCCTTGATAAATGTTGTGCTGATGCATCTGTGCTTGCCAGCTAGCTCATTATTGGCCCTCTTCCAACTACCTGACATTTCTTTCCTGATTGCTCAGAGATTTTGGCCCTGCTTGTAGCAGCCTCTTGAGGAAGCCATAGGTTTTTAGCCATGGCACCCTTGTTCTTTTGCCTTTGAAAGTTTCTGTTATTCTTGAGATATTTCTTTGATTACTAGAGCTGACTAAAAATTCAGTTGCTTCTTTATATCCAGGCTAACTCTCATAAAACAAGTTATGTGCATTCTACTTGGCCTTGAGTTCTTGATGGACCCATGGTATGGTATTGAACATCAGCCCACCCTTCATCATTGCATTCAACCACTTCACAGATCCTCAATGTCATTTGATTTTTAGGCTTTGTTATACACACTATATTCTCACCTTCCCATGCTGTGATAGGTTTTTCTGTGGGCTTTATCTTTGCGCACTGTTGTTGTGCTTCAAAGACTGTGCAGAGCTAATGACTTCACAGATCTTCAGTATCATTTATTTTTTAGGCTTTGGTTGTTGATACCAAAGTCTTTCCCTCCCATTCTGTAATAGCCTTTTCTACAGGTCTTATATGTGGGCACTACTGTTAGGCTTCCAAGACTGTATTGTGTGTTTATGCTGTTACATTGGCAAATGGCTTAATTACTGTCTGTAACACTGAGCTACTTAAGTTACTACTTTGTAGCAATAATACTGCATTTTCTACCTGTGTTATTGATTACTCTGCACATGTTTTCTGCTCATCCTGTTTCTCATCTGTCCTGATATTTCTGGGTTGTTGCATCTATCCTATCAGCCACTTCACCTAGTTGTCTCATTAAAACTTTAGTACATGCTGACAGCTTTGTGGCTAATACAGGTGGTGGTGATGTTGTGACAGTCACTTGTTGGTTATTAACCAGAGGTACTGTGTTTGCTACATTCTCACCTAGCTGAGCATTGCTGTCAGCTTGCAGCTCTGCATAAATGCTCAATTGCCTACTTGATAGAGGGACTAATGAGTCCACTTTATTACCTTCAACGGGCATATTATCAAAAAGGTCATTTATGGATGTAACCATACTAGTTGCACTGCTTATGAAAGTAAGCTGCTCTCCCAATGTTCTCCTGCTGCTGTTAACTGTGAGTTTTGTTGGGAACCCAGACAACTTTGCAACATTTTTTGGCAGCATATATATGGATGCAAGTCAAGCCAAAGGGGGAATAGTGTTAGATTTACATGCATATACTGTGCCACAGTTTTACTTAGAGTGCCCACTATGACAAATCATCATTGATTCTTACATGCATGAATTTTTAATGTCTCAACTACAAGACTGTCTTAAATTCACCTGAGCACTGACAAAAAAGTAATATAATGGCATTCTGTTGCTGAGTGTCCAGCTGTTAACTGTACTAACAAGACTTCTTTGATTCAATGCCATAAGAGAAGAGAAAAATGACTATGAGGCTGTTGTAGCAAGCCTCTCAGCTATGAAGTATGCTGACAGAATAGGAAGTGTTACAAGGATGACAGTCAGTGTTTTACCACTCAAGTCATATTTAACCAACCATCAGTCACCACCGCATCAACAATATCTAGTCAGCCACTTGATACATCTTTGCTGGGACTTAGCTGTACTTCCACCTTGTGCAAACTGAGTCAGGTGAGTATGTGACACCTTTAAGCTCACTTCAACCTTCTGAATATGGCATGCAGTGTTAAATTTCTGTGGAAGAAGGCTTATTGATGGATTGTGAGCCTATCTCCCCTATCAACAGCTCCCTGCATGAGCCTGGCAAATACCCAGTACACAATGAGATAACACATGTAGACAAAAACTCCAAGGATACCTTATGGAGGCAAGTGAGCCCAGTTGTCTATCTATTGGTAAACAATGTGATGTTGTGGTTAGAGAAGTGTGATGTTTCCACAAACCCCAGTAATGGGGGCTTCAAGGACTTACTTCTACATCTTACCAAAAGCATTCTGAGATGCAACTTACTATGTACATGGTAAAAATGGACAACCATGATGGAGCTGATAAATTATGACCCAGAGACCATATTGATACCAGCATATGTTTGCAGTTGCATGGCATTCACATCAGAAAATACTACCATTAGAAGGTGTGCAGCTTCTCAGGAATTCACCACCATAGTAGGAAAACATTGCTCACACTCTGGATATATTCCATTAATAACCTATCTAAAGTAACTCCTGCAGTCCATCAAGCTTTGTAATGCTATATAGTACTGCACTCAGTATCAATAGGCTCAAACTTTCAAACAGCCAAGAAGCAAGGGCTACTTTGAAGGTATGTATGTCCAAGCCTTTGCCTTGGCACTTGATGGATTCTAATTGAATAAGTACTCTACCAGCATATCCTGCTGGCCTATGATTATCTGCAACTTGAATTTGCCTCCAATCTTACCATATCAGGGCAGATATATAATGGTATTATCACTGGTTTCTGGGCCTTAATTACTGTCCAGCCTGGATGACTACCTGTACTCATTGCTGGATGCTTTTTGTATGCTTTCCAGCTGGACACAACTAAATGGCCTCCATATCATAGGCATTTTAATAATTGCAAGAAAGATACTGTGGCCATCAGTAAGACAGCTGGCTTTTCTGGGCACTACAAACAATATTGCTTTCTAATCTGTGAGACTCAGGGGACTTACTCCCTAATTCACTCATAATATTATTATCCATACACCAGCACTAAGAACATCTTCTTACTATAGAGAGAAGGAACAGAGGTCTGCATGCATTTACAGCAAAGTTTGCAAGCTGGAAGCCATTTGCTGGAATATGGAATTATCTGCAAACTTAGTATTCTTAAAATAGGGAGTATCCTTCAGGGCAAAAGCATTCTGCTAGGAGCAATTCATTGCTTCTCCGCAATATTCTTATATTAGTGGCCAGGTTGTACATGGGGCATCTCAAGCAAAATTAGCCCTTCAAGATACCGGAGAAAATTGAAAGAATTGGCACAGTATTGCAGAATATCCAATACCCAAAATACTTCTCACACACTCCAATCAATATTCAATTGCATACTTGATAATACAAATTCAGGGACTGGATGAGCTGGGTATATTTCTATACAAGTGGCCCACTGAACCCATTTCTATCAAGAGTACATTGGAAGCATTGGGGGTCTTATGTTGACATTGTAGGGATATTTATCTAGAAGCAGCTGTTATGCAAGGAGTTTGTGACTTATTTGAGCAACTTTACTACAAGCACATAGCTGAGCACTGAGATCTCTGCTACTACTATGCCTATTATACACTCCATCTTGCATAGTGTATGGAGAATTTTGGGCCTTGCTTCATCAATTAGGAACTTCCTCTAGAGTGGATGTGTGGGAATTGGGAGAACATGTCAAATTGCAGGTACTACTGGATTCCAATCTCATCCAAAATATTTCCTTTAGGTCCTTTATGGATGAGATGATTTAGCACATGAAGGACAGCCTGGAAAAGTTAGAAAATACTGGGGACAGATGTGCGCATGGAGACACCTATGCCTTTGCATTATGAAGCTAAGCAGCTCAAATGTGTAGGTTATCAGGTAAGTTATGCAAAATTGAGTTGGGTGCAACAAGCAACTGATGGTTGATAGTACAACTTTACCAAGGTATGCCAGGCTTCTCTTGGTCACCTGACTGCTTCAAAACCATACTATGCAGAATTCACACAATCAGGTGCCAGAGGGCACCTATATGGGGTACTAAAATCCAGCAGGGAGAAGGAATATACTGGCTAAATCAGTTCTTTGTTGAGGATCAGGGGGTAATTATGGCAAAAGTGGTGGTAACCCAGCATATGTTTGCAAGATGTATATGCAAACATCAATACAAGGTATATAGCAACTTTGCAAGTATCACACTCAAAAGCCATAAAGCTGAGGTGATAGAAGTGCAAATTGGATTTCTCAAGAGTTGGAAGTGCAGCCAGGTGGGCTACACTTCAGTGAGGTGTATGAATTTGCAGAGAAATGCAATTCTTCTGTTAGGGCCACCATGTCCTCCATTGTAGAAAGAGAGGAGATCCCACTGGTAGACAGAGCAACAATGTCCTAAAATCATAGGACTGTCAAAATGTCAAGAGTGCAGCTTAAAAACATTGATAGGCACACAAATTGACAAACCAGGACTTTACTTTAAGCTACAAACCCAAAAAGAAGGGGGGGCAGGGGAGTTTGGGGGCCCCCTTTGCGCATGCCCAATAACAGGGGTAAACGGTGGCACAAATGACTCCTGCCAGACTTGAACAGGCTTCCCAGGAATGAAGATCCTATGTCCTAACCACATAGACTAAGGAGTCCTAGCTGGCAAAGCTTGCCATTGCCCCCCCTCCCCCCACCCACAACCCCCCTCTGATTGTAGGGGGGTAAGTATAGCCTGTTGCCTTAAGATTCACATATTCAGTGACTCTCCAGAGCTCAAGACTATGCAGAATGTGCTTGCTCTGCTCCTTGATAACCATCTTGGACTTAAAGAAGAAGCAATACATTGGCCCTGCTTTGTTATGCTAAAAAAGTATCTCAAGAATAGCAGAAGCTGTCAAAGGCAGAGGAGCAAGAGTGCCAAAGCTAAAGCTCAGTGTCTTCCTCAAAAGCCTGTTGCAATCAGGTTTGAAAGCCCTAAACAAGCATCAAAGAAGTATCAGGTAGCTAGAAGAGTGCTGGTAAGAGATAAGTAGGCAGAAGCTGATGCAATAGTCATGCATTTATAAATCAAAATTGTAGTTCAATTCATGAAGCACTCAGTCAAAGTAACGGTGAAGGACCTGGCAGGAATAAAAGTATGCGGCTTCCCCATGAGGCTGCAACAAGCAGAGCTGAAAGCTTAGAATTAGCACCACAGCAATATCAGGTATCCAGTAGAGTACTAGTAGGGGTTAGGCAGGCCAAAATGAGTGCACCAGTGTAGCATTCATCAAGGAAACATGTAGAATGATGCAAGAGGCACTCAGTTAGAGTAGCAGTAAAAGGCTTAGCAGCAACTATAGTCAAGGTAAACTGAAAAAAGGCTACCTAACTCATAGACAGGATAGCATCATAGAAAAGCCTAGGTTCTCTCTAATTAGCAAATACTCTAGGACTTTCAAGAACCCAGTACAAGCAGCATGTGATTCACCTGTACCATAAGTATTATCCTAGCTTCAGATAAGCAAATATATTCTGGGCTAGTACTAATATGCTAAGAAGATAATATACTTTTTGCATTAGACAGTTCTACAAATGCCTCCCAGTTTGCAGTGATGAATTAATCTGGATCTCTGTGGCACTATCTGGCACTGTAATTTCTACTGTGATGCCAGCGGTAGGTTTCAGATACTGGTAGTTTACTCTATTTTACATAAATTGCTCAGGGTAGCTTCTTACTTTCTTTAGACTTGTTTCATTGTGGTGGGGTCACAGTGACACCCACTAATAGATGTGCTCATTCCTATGTTTTCTACTTCCCTATTTCTCTACTACACTTATTTTAGTTTTATCCCATTTGTCTTACCTTATCAGTACTTTCCTATAAGCCCGTTGACTATCACACCTGCTTACGTTATGGCATAAGTTATCCCTCACTTTATGTAAGATTACTAGCTTAAAGTGCTTCCATATTTTGCAAGTACCTGTGACAAATAATCAACCTGTATCACCATCCCTGCCATTTCCATACCATAAATGGTATTCCTATGTTATATAGGTTTCAGAGTACCAATTCCTGATTGGTTGGATGTGCTGTGCCTTTTAGAACCTTCTGGCACCTACTTAGAACATACATAGGTCATTCTGATGTCATTAAGATTTCTATTGATATCCAGAACCTTCTGGAACACCACAATTAGTAATTGCTTAGCCTGTGAGAAAAGTATATAAGGGAGGCAATCCCTCAACAATAAATCATCATCCCTTTCATCAATATACTGACTTGTTGATTGGTGTGATCACTGCTACCTGCTGCTACCTGAACTTCCAACCCCAGACCACAGGACACTCCCAGGAAACCACACTGACAGCCAACTGACCTTGGAGGCACTACTTGTCAGGAATACTCAGAGTAGGTATCTTTTATTATATTTGATTCTTTCCCAAGTTTGTTCTTGTACAGGCAAAGATACTTCTCTGTCTTTGTAACTATTGACCACAGCTGCATTCTTATCAAGTCCCTGCTGGTGGAGCTCACAGTTGTTTTGACTTTGGAAGCTTTAGTACATTGTCATCTCAAAGGATGCTGAACCCAGCACCTACTTTTGTTAAGGTGCCAACTAAGTTGGGGATTGTAGCTCAATAGTTTCCCTTGACTAGCTTGTGACTTTATTCCCCATCACATCAGATTAGAGACAGAACCCAAGTATTCCTAGCAAGCTTTTGCCAGAGGTTATTGCTCCCATTGAACACCCCACACACAAAACACTTGGGAAGTGTTGGATGTATCTCCTCCTTGGACCTATACACCACCACACTGTTGGATAGTGCCACATTGAGCCATAAGTGCCAAATGATGCCATAGTGTGCCAAAGAGGCCAAGTGGGCCTATACTTGGCCACAGAGTGTGAAAGATAGCTCTGCATCTTCATGCAAAGCAGCCCTGTGTTGCACCCTATGTGCTGGAGAAAATTCATTCTTTGACCTTTTTTTTTGGACCACTGTTGTGCAGGATGTGTAAGAGCACAAAAAAATTGAAGACATGCATCAGGTACTCAATACCCATGGCACTCTGAATCTAGCTCCTGTGGCTTGTATCATGTCACAAAAATGCATGGCACTATCTTGGTCCACTGATACTATCAGGCACTATATTTAAATATTAGCCCTAGAGTAAAGCCTATATAAAGCACTAATAGTGCCATGCATTTTTGCAACATGATACAAGGCACAGGAGCTAGATTCAGTGTGCCATGGGTATTAAGTATCAGATGCATGTCTTCAGTCCTTCTTTGCTCTTACTTGTCCTGAGCATGCTGATCCAAAAAAAAAGGCCAAAAAATGTATCTTTAAGGACAACAAAACAAGTGCAGACATCTACAATTATAAAGAGGTAGTGATTATCATCATCACTTGTGGTGAAAGGTTCAGCTGGATCAGTTGCAATATGATCCATAAGAAGGCTTACATGGATGGGACTCAATGGGTAAGATCCATGGTTGCTGATATTGTAAAGCTGACATTCTTGGCAAGACTTGACAAATTCTAGGCAGTCAGCTTTGATTTTTGGCCGGTGATATTCATCAGAGTGTAGCTTCCTCATAAGTGTGTCAGCTTCAAAATGGCCAAGTAAATGACTTGTGTGTATCAATGTTTTTCTTTCATTAGCATGTGGGATTTTCCAAGTTGTTGAATCCAGTTGAGGGATTATTTTGGAAGTTGTAGTGAGCTTACTGATTCTGTCAGTAATCACATGTACCTCCCAAGGTGAAGTTGGGAAAAGTCTTGAAAGGAGGTCAGGTAGGAGGTTGAGGATTCCTGGGCAATGAATAACTGTATATTCATAGTCAAGTAGAGTATCAAGCCAGTTGGTAAGCATTGAAGTCAGAGTCTGTTGAGTATAGATATAGATAAGGGCTCAGTGGTCTGTGTACAAAGTAAAAGGGTTACCCTATAAGTACTGATGAAACTTCTTCAAGGCAAAGACTATGGTAAGCAGCTCCTTGTTAGTGGCAGAGTAGTTCTTCTCAGCAGGTTGTAGGGATCTGGCTTGAAAAGAGATCCAGTGAGGCAGATTTTGGTCTTCATCCTGATGAAGGACAGCCCCTAACCCAACATTAGATACATCTGTAGCAACAACTAAAGTCTTAGTAAAGTCTTGGTAGGATAGGGTGGGTGCTTGTGGCAGTAACTGGCAGAGTGACTCAAATGCTTGGTCATGAGCCTTGTTCCAAGCTGAGGGAAGATCAGGACTATGGCATAATGCATCCAAAGGGGCACTCAGAGAGGACATGAGAGGAATGCGTTCCCTGAAATAGTTGAAAACTCTAGATAATGTTGGATTTGCTTAGAGCTAGTGGGTTTTGGCCACTCAGGAATATTGACCAGTTCAAAAGAGTCAAGTTGGTGGCCTTCTGGTGTGACTATGAATCCAAGTAGATTAATTTTGAGGGGAGCAAAACTGCACTTTTCAGTATTAAGAATCAGTCCAGCGGCCGTTAGTCTACAGATTACATCAATGACATGAGTTGCATGCTCATCACAGTTTGTGGAAAATATGACAACATCATCAACAAATACTATGGTGTATAGTGTATTCTTGAGTATTACAGTCATAACTCTCTGGAACGTGCTGGTGAATGTCTTTGGGCCAAAGGGGGCACCCTGAAACATCCATTGCATAATATTCCAAGTAAAGGCAGTCTTATGCTGATGATCAGTATGGATCTGGAATTGGTGATATGCATCCTTCAAGTCCAATTTGGAGAATACTCTTGCGCCTGATAGTGAGGAAAAGATATCCTGCATTCTAAGAATTGGAAATATGTCATCTTGAAGAAGTTTGTTCAGAGGTCTATGGTCCAAACAGGGTCTCTTCAGAGTTAGATTTTTGTTTGCATCCTTCTTGGGTACAAGCGCCAGAGGGCTGTTGAAAGTTGTGTTGACAGGGGCTTGAGTGATGATCCCATTGTCAGCCAACTTTTGGACTATTTCATCAACCAAGTGTTGACAAGAATGTGGAATTGGGTATTACCTCCTCCATGTTGACTCACCAGGTGGGGTTTCTAGCAAGACAATGGATTCTGGAATACTGGAAGTCTTCTAATGCCTTCCAGGCATTTTTGCCTCTTGTGCTCTTCAGCATTGAATTAGCAATTTGTCTTCAACATTAAGGCAAATGCAGTTAAAGGCACTTTGTTCTTTCTTCTGGTACTTCAAGGCTTCCTCTCCCATGTTTTTAGGAGGGCATTCTTCTCCCATGACAATGTCCCAAAGGCCTCTTTCTTGTAGCAGCATCTTCATCTTCACCTTTCATACTAGGTAGTTAGATCTGTCCAACTTTTCAGCAGAGGGAAAAATTCCAGTAGTAGCAGTAGTAGACATTGCAGAGAGTGACAGCTTGGGGCTCATAACCTGTTGTAAGAGTCTTGGAGATATTGGAAGTGATTTGGAGAACAAGTAGATTATGTGGTTTTTGTTGTAAGAGTCTTGGAGATATTGGAAGTGATTGGGAGAACAAGTGGATTATGTGGTTTTCACTTAATGATTTATTGAATGTAAAAGTAGTATTTATACTTTTACCTGGTCTTGGCATTACAAACACGTAGAATAGGTTAAGGAAGGTCCCAAGAACATGTGTGCAAATTTGAGGCTGTTTGGACAACTTTGAGAATTT